TGCCGCTGTACAACACGGTGTCCGTGGTGGACGGCCTGACTGACCGCTGGCCTGGCTCTGCGGGGGCTGTCCCGAGCGAGGCTCCACTGACCGTTCTGAGGAAAGGTAGGTCACACTTACCTCTGCATCATCCTGCGGTGCAGCTGTGCGCTGTTCTCACACGGCCAGGCCCCAGTGTTGTTGTGTGTCTTGAGTGAGCGTGAAGAATCCAAACTGCCTGTGACACTGGGGACTGTCCCACAGGTATCCGAGACACACTACCCACACAGAGCCGCTCTTCGTGTGTTAGAGAAGGGTTAAAGTCAAAATATGTTGATTGGATTCTTTTCCTTTGCTATCCTGAACCTGAAATGGTTCAGGTGCACAAAACTCTCTTAACGGGCCACACAGATAGGCGAGTGGCCTCCATCTGCGTGCCCCAGTGGGTCACGTGAATTAGGAACAAGTTATATTTACATACGTTTTTGTCTGGTTTATTTACAATGATGTTGGCAGCTATTTTACAGTTTGTGTAAGAAGTTATCATTTATTTAGCAGATGCCTACATCTAAGGCAACTTACACGGGTTAAACTGTGCACTACAGAAAAATATTCACTGTGGCAAAATAATTAGAAAACAGATTATTTCTATTTCAAAGGACAGAGTTGCCACTTGGACTTGGCAATTATCAAAATCAGTTTTTCTCCACAAGAGTGGGCCTTCAGCTGAGCGCTGAACAGAATGCTCTGTTGTGGTGAAGATGGTTTTTCTTTAACGGTTCCATTTGCAGAGTGTGATATGAAATAAGTACCAAGGTCCTAGTTACTTTCAGGTTTAGCTGCTGCACTTTGCCTTGGATGAATGTGAAAATTCCCTGACCAGTAATTGCTGGATGTCCTTCCTCACCTTTTTGCACAGGTGGTTGAGGTTCAGCCTTTCTAGAGCCACGAGAGTTTTATTTGTAATTGAACATCAACTCCCCAGACGACATGCACTTGTTTCCCAGGGGGTGGGGCCAGCGCCTGCCCTGCATTGTCCCCTGAGCCGTATGCCGAAGCCTGTGTCAGCAGTTTGCTTAGCAGGGTCTGACTTGGCTGCACTGGTCCCCTCTGTGTTTGTCCACTCACTCAAGCCCAGCTTGGCACAGTGGCACGCCTCAAAACTGCTCTGCACAACTCGGCAGCTCTCTGTGCCCTCAGTCGACAGCGCTCACTGTTCCATATGTTGTGCTGGTTCTGGTACTTCAATCGGTAGGGAGGCATATATGTAGAAATAAAAACATTTATGAAAAAAGATGCCAGACATACACCAGTGCAATTTAATGCTCTGTTTATTATGGACCTTGATTTTGTGAGCAAAATGTCCAGAAAATAAGATGCAGAACCATCCTGCTTTTGTGTACCAGAAAATGTCAAGTTCAAAATCAGCCTGCATATAGTACATATAGTCTGGTCTGAGGTGAGGAGACACCCAGAGCTTGGCAGTGTGTCTGTTTTCTGGTCCAGCAGAGCAGTGAATATACTGTATACACGTGTATGTAGGCTCATAGTCCACACTTCACATGTATATTTTCCTCATGCGGTGCTCTCAGTTCTGAGAATTCCACTTCCTGCTCAGTGTCTCATATTTTTAGCTTGTAGGATTGCGTTTCCTGAGGTCTGGTTTTGAGAGAAAGCCTCCCTGACACGGCTCTTTTAAAATGCACTGACTTCTGCCACCATCAAAACTGCTTCACAAAGAAATGGCAACGAGTCTCTAACGCTCTTGCAGACTGGTTCCTGGCTCCAGATCTTTGGCCTCAGTTCGGGCCTTGGTGCTTTGCCTCTTGATCAAAATCTGGCCTGAAATGTCTTTGCATTCTTCAGAGACTGTAGGGTTTTGTCTCCTGTTTTGCATTCGATTCTTTGCATTGGGTTCGAGTAGAGAATTTGAAGAATTTCTAAGAAGTGATACTTCTGCAAGGCTTTGGGCCAGCATGTGGCCTAGTCCTGGGGCAGGAGTGATGTCCCCGCAGAGCCCCACCAGCAGTAAGGTACTGCGAGGAACAGGCCAAGTGAACACCACGCTTCAGGCTCCTGCCTGTGTGCCGGTCAGTCAGGCTCCATCCCTGCGCGGAGCTGCTCTCCCTGCAGCTCGGAGGATCCGAAGTGAAAGAGCTGTGCCGGTTGTTTCTTGTAGACTTGGAGGCGCTGAGCGCGCTGTTCCGGGTGTTCGTGGAGCTGCCGGCAGCGCGGCGCTCGGCCTTGTTCCGGGCCGTGAGCGAGGTCCTGGCGGAGAAGGAGGTGGTGTCCGTGGTGGGGAGCGCGGTAAGGACAGCAAAGACGGTAAAGACAGCGCGGTAAGGACTCGGGACGCAGTGTCCTCAGCTCAGAGCCGGGGCTGGGGGTGGCCCGGTTCCTGAGACAGTCTGACAGACAGCCCAGACTGCTTCATACGGGCCGGCTCTGGGTGGGGGTGTGGCTGGGGAGTCCTCAGAGTCTACTGGATTCTCTATGGAACAGGCCGTACCGGCCCCGTATTGGTCTGACATGGAGAAAGCTGCAGTGCAGGCTTGTAACTTGTGTATTCAGATGGTATGAAGCTGAGAGAGGTTTGGTGGAGGAAATTGCAGAATGTGTGCCAAACAACTAAACCTCGGGGGGTGAGAAGACCTCGGATTTATGACCTTTGTTGGCATTCGTTTGGCAAAATAACCCGCACACAGTAAGACCCAGGTGATTCCCGGCACTGCGAGTGTAACAGGCCTCCAGGGGTGTCTGACGTTACTCCTGCTCTCTCTGTCTCTCTGTCTCTCTGTCTCTCTGTCTCTCTGTCTCTCTGTCTCTCTGTCTCTCTGTCTCTCTGTCTCTCTGTCTCTCTGTCTCAGCTCGAGCAGCTGTGCCGAGGGGAGCAGCCCGCGCTGGCAGACCTGGCGGAGCTGCAGCCTTCCCAGAGACGGACAGCCCAAGCCCTGCTGGCAGAGATGGGGCACGAGGAGGGGGAGGAGACGGGCGCCCAGCCAGCCCCCCGTCTCCTCTCCGCCACTCACGCGCTGCTCAGCGCGGCCGACGGTGAGACTGCGTCATGGCAGGGGATCGCCGAGGGAGCAGTCCGTCCGCTCACGAACGGGGGGGGGCTGGGTTACTGGCGTCACTGCCAGGGGCCAGGGGAGTGTGGTCCTTTTACCAGCTACAATCTACTCGACTGTCATTTTAGGAAGCTCATCCGCAGCTTAATGACAGAATCCTGTAATGTTTTGAAAGTCGTGTTTAAATGAATGTGTGAATAAGTATTAAACATCATTAATTCTCACTATTGTTCTTTTCAGAGATGCCTGATGCTGGTCTAGCGGCGCTGAGCTGCTGCTGTAACCCCGAGACCCTGCTGGCTGTGGAGTGCTTGGTGGGTATTATGACTAATCCAGAGCCTTGACACTTGCAGCCATTCAGACTGCTAGAGCAGTGCAGGTGAAGTACTGTGCAAAAGCAGTTTCTCGCCTGGGAATTGAACCCACAGCCTCCTGGGTGTGAGTCCAGGACCCTGAGCACTGCTCCACGCTGGTGCCCTGTCCCGCTGGGTCCGTGTAGATGGAGAGTTTATTCCTGAGCACTTCAGTGCCGGGAGGCGAGCGAAACCCCACCTGCCCCAGGAAGGAAGTGCAGGCGTGTCGTGGTCCGGCACCGCCATGCCTCCTCCCTGGCTCATTCCTCGAGACCGAGGGGGCTGCGGCCGAGTTTCACATGCTTTCTATTCGTCAGCGTGTTTCATCACTATTGGAGTCTGAGAGGACTCGAATCCCCCCCGACAGGCTTGTTTAGTGTAGTGCTCCTGGGAGAGAAGCCGCAGGGTCAGTTAGAGCAGGCTGGTCACAGCTCGAGGGCCACGGTGCGGGACTCTGACTGAGCGTCTTCCTTCTCTCCGCTGCTCTGCCAGCTCCGCAGCTTCCTGAGCGGAGGGGAGGCCTGCCTGGGCGACGGGGCCTTGTCCGCCCTGACCGACGAGGAGACCCTCCGGACCGTCGAGCTGCTGTTCTCCTCCTGCAGCATCGCCCTCCAGAGGGGGCCGGCGGCGCTCGTGGCCTCGACCGGGCAGCAGCCGGGCTTCCTGCCTTTGGCCCTGAGCGCCGCCGTGACGGGCCTGGCTGCCCTGGGCGCGGAGCGCGGCTGAGCGCCGGGCTGCTCCGGGTGCGATCAGCTCAGCTGCGCGGGGGTCCCGAGACCCACAGGCTGCCCGACGAGAGCCGGCTCCTTCTCGCTGCTGAAACTCGCAGTGCTGACGGGGAGAGTGCCGGCACAAACAGAGCCCTCTGCTGGGCTGGTGTCATATTGCAGCAACACCAGAATCACCTTCCTTTTCTAACAGCTTGTCTTTTGAAGCCGCTTCGTGTGTCCTGTGAAATAAGTTTGCAGCAGTTCAAGACTCTTCTTACACGAACAGAGAGCACAAGACAGCACTTTTATTTTCTTTCCTAACTGCTTTACTCCCTCTCCTTAGAATTGCACCTTTTATTGTTTAAGCAAGCGTGTTTTTTTTTTTTAAAAAAGCTTCAGTTTGTATTGACGTGACAAGGCATATCCCAGTATCATTCGGCAGTGTGAAAGCGTCCTGTACAGCGTTGCTGGGGGGAATTACACTTCGATTAGTCTTCCCTGCGATCTCTAGATGGGCTGTGGCTGCCCAGAATGTCTTCTAGCAGAGCTGTACGGGGGGAGGGTGTGTTTGCACAATTATTCCGTAGGTTTCTCTGTAAACCCAGTCTCTTATCGTGCGGCGTTCTGTTGCGAGACGGTGTTCGTGTTGAGTGTAAAAGGTTGAGAGAGTCTTTTCAGAGACACGCACAGCTCTGCGAGTCTGGGAAGTACAGAGACGAGGGAACGTTGTGTTGTTTGCGAGAGGTACAGTACTGGTGGCTTCTGGAAGGTGCACATGTATTGGTGTGGGGAAATTACTTCAAACAAATGTGATCCAAGCACAACATTTTAAAGTGAATTTTCAAACGATATTCCTTCTTCTGTCATTGCGAAGAATTGGAGTGAGAATTGTGGTGTATTTGATCTGTCGGAGCGACAGTCTTCTAAGACGTGTAAGTATGTTTTATGAAGAAATATGCTGCCACATGTACTTGTCTTGAGCAAACGTCAAAACAAAACCAGCATTCGTGACTTTTTATATTTTATATTTTTATAGACTATTATATTTCTGTAAGTGCATCATCGTTTTTAAAATATTCTAAAGATTTTTTAAATGTTTATTAAGGATATTTTAATGCAAAGAAAATTTAATCTCTAATAATCTAATCTTATTGCCTGCTTTCCAATATTTTTATTGCAACTGACAATTTATGTATACATTTATCTGGATTTAATTGACTTAATTTAATTAAGTTGATAAAGTAAGCCTCACTTTTAATTTCAATTAGAGGATGTGAATGTTTAAACTTCTGTAAGGAGTTGAAAACTGTTTTGTTGTTGAAACATTTGTCTTTAAAAACAAAATGCATGTTGTGCCCTTCAGGCTTGTTACAGATATGGGCTACCAAACCCCAAGCAAGCATGAACTGTAACAGTTCAGCCTCAGCTAATAGGTATGTTTAGACATTTCTTCTCTGTAAATTCTTCTATGTAAGTTATATGTATTAATACATGTAGTTAGTAATATGCTGTTTTTTAAAACTTTATAAAAATGTATTTTTTAAACAAAAAAAGACATGCTCAGTCTTTATCCTGAAAATGATCTTCATATGATTGTAAGAGCACAAGCCACAGGACTGCGAGAGGAATAGGTTGGACAACAGTGTCATTAGGGAGATCATTTAACTTTAGCCCATGCTGGCCCGGTGTCAGTGTGTATTTCTAACTATTTTAATACAGAAAACGCAAACACCTGCTCTATCTGCCAGAGAGAGCATGGGACCCGTATTGTCCACGTCAGTCTGCAAAAGGATAATGATCATCTGAAGAGGCTGTGTGTTCTCGCTTGGTTTCTCTAACCAGTTATTCAGCATTTATAGTGTACGCGGACTGCAGCTCTGCTCCTGACCAACTATTAATAAACCCTGTACTAACACCCCCTTTATGTATAGTGTATTATTTAACCTCTATTGCGGTCTCATTGGGCTTGAAGCTGGGATGGGCAGTTTGCTTGCTGCTTGTACAAGCATGTTTGTCTCAGACCTACAGAGAATAAAATGAGTGTTGATGAACAATTGGGAAAAATGTTGATGAATGTTGGGGAAAAAAAAAATACCCAAGCCCCACAGAAGGAAAACCAGGCAGTATTTATAGATATATAATTTATAGTTTTTATTTTAGTTGTAAATGGCAGTGTTAGAGATCATGGACCAAACTGAACCATGGCCAATTCACAATTTACAGAATAATTGATATGGCACAGTGTTTTATATGAAAGTTGAAATAAAATGTTTAATAAAAAATAACCTTGGAAAAGCATGAATTTCTTGTGTATTTCACAGGAGAAGAGATTCACTCAAACAGTGCATTAAAAACCAACAGGGCAAATGTTTATATGATGGGTTAAATGCTTCTCAATCAGCCAGGCTTCTTGCAGGTGACAAGGAAGCTGACATGTTCCACATCACCAGCATGTAATCGGTGGTGCTACGAGCACAGAGCTCTTCCTTGTTATACTTGCGTTTAAATCCAATCGCAAGGCCTGCACTGGGAACCGAGAAGAAGAGTGGAACTGCTGTCCTAGTGTTTGGGCCGTGCTTGTGCTGCTGAAGTTTGAAATCACCCGCTTGCCACACACTTAATACGCACTTGCCTGAAGTGAAAGGGACTCGGTCGGCAGTTCTCCCAGACATCGCTGACCGCATGCGTGCCTGTGGAGGTGCTGAAGGTCGCTCGCCCGCCCACATGTGCCATTCATCCCGCTGCCAATGATCAAAGACCAGGGGAATTTTCTGTCCTGAAACTTCAGTGTTCACTTCTGGATGCCAGGTGCGTGCAAGGAATTTGTCACTGCAGAACGCTTTGTTAATTATGCTTTACGGTAGGCTAATCGGCAAAAGTAAGCAAAATCTTTAATTTATTGGGTTTACAAGTGCTCCCAAACATTTTCCTCCTGTAGAACACCTCTGTCTCCAGTCCTGTCCAACCAGGACATGAACGAAAGAAATGACACCACACTAACGCACAGGACACAGAAAAAAAAAGTACACATGAAAAATAACAGCTCTCTAGAAATTAAAACAGTAACTGCATTGGAGACAGACATTTAAAACAATTCCTTGTTCCATGAAGAACATCATTCCTTTTTTACAACAACAAAAGCAAAACAATTCAACTAGACTGTCACAAACATTACAATCTAAAGTAGAACACTGAAAAGAAACAAGCTTGCGCCTAAAACTACAACCAAAAAACAAACAGACACAGAGGGTTTTAATGTAACAGAAGATTCTTTCCTTGAAAGTCAATCTAAAACTCCAGTACTGCCTTGGTTTTCACAAAATTCAGAAGCAACGGTTCTGGGTTAGAAAGCAGCTCTGGAACACAGTGGAATTACTGAATTAGGGAAATCCTGGTACAAACATGAGAGATGAATACAACTGGAAACCTGCCTTTATATCATTCACAAGGAGCAGGTAGCCCTGCACCGCCGTGACATCGCCCCCCTTCGGGGAACACATCTGTAATCATTCTTAACGCAGAGTAGTGTCCTGTCTTGGTTAAAGCTATTGCATCCGACCACCTTGGACTTTGCAATAAATAGAAAATTAAAATCATTTCAAGTATCGTCTGTGTTTATCTGGTGGTGAGACAAAGGGACGGGCTCACCTGAGCCCCGCCGCGGTACAAAAGCTCTCCAGCCGGTTCGGCGCATTTTTTTTTCTCCATTTTTTCTTTTTTTTTTTTTACTTCAACTTGATATGATTAGAAAGATACTCTGTAAAAAGTTAGAAAAATTAAAATAAATAAGTCCGCTTTCCCTTTGGGTGTGCGCAGGAGCTTCAGTAGACCCAGCTGACCGGGACCCACTGCGGCTCCGTGCACAGCCGGTCCACCGCCGCCTGCAGCTGCTCGAAGGCTTTGTCCAGGTTGTCATTGACGATGGTCAGGTCGAAGTAGTGGCTGTAGGCTCTCTGGATCCGCCCGCTCTCGTCCACCGTCTTCTTCAAGTCCGTGTCCTGTGGGAAGCCAAGCGCCGAGCGTGAGAAGACCTGCGCCGTGTATCCAGTCTGCGGAGAAGAGCCGGGCTGTGCTAGTCCTCTCTGTCACAGTCTGCCGGTCCTCTCTCTCACAGTCCGGGTGAGACGCCAGCAAACAGGGCCCGGGGTCACCATGCCCGGCCCTCAAGACAGCCCACTGCCTGCCCTCAGGCTGGGCTCCTGGCACCAGGCAGCCTCGCTAACCACTGTGAGGAGCAGGAGGGGCAGAGGGGAGAGCAGGAGGAGAGAAGGAGGAGAGAAGGAGGGGGAGGAGGAGAGCAGGAGGAGAGCAGGAGGAGAGCAGGAGGAGAGCAGGAGGGGCGAGCAGGAGGAGAGCAGGAGGGGGAGGAGAGAAGGAGGGGCAGGAGGGGAGCAGGAGGGGAGCAGGAGGAGAGCAGGGCCTCACCGTCAGCAGCTTGGTGGTGATCCCGGCGTCCACCACGGCCTTGTGCATGGCCCGCAGTGTGTCGAGCTCGGGCGCCGCAATGAACACCACGTAGGGCATGAACTCCGGGGTCTTCAGGACCTTCAGAGCCTGCAGGCAGAGACAAGGCCTTGACCTCTCTTTACACACAAACCCACTCAGGGACCACAGCACCTGGGCTCCTGGGGCCACCCTGCAAACAGCCTGGCGAGTCTGGACCAATCCACCCCCAATTTATTCACTCTCACAGTCTCTCACTCACTCACTCAAACTCTTTACACACACACACTGAAGACACTTTACATACAGCACACACACATATTAAATGTCACATGTTAATATATAGTGTAAATACTCTTTAGAACAATGAGCCGGTGCCTATTCTTTTTAGCACCCGTGTGTAAAGGGTGGCCCCTCACACCCCCAGCCCTCGGCCCCCACGCGCCCCGAGCTCCCGGCCCCCTGACCTGCGGGTTGACGTCGAGGATGCAGGTGCGGCCGGTCTGCACCACCTCGAGGATGGAGTCGATCTTGGTGCCGTACAGGTTGCCCTCGTACTCGCCGTGCTCCAGGTACCGGCTGGCCTTGACGTCCAGCTCCATCTCCGTCCGCGACACGAACCGGTAGGACTGGCCGTCCTTCTCGTCCTCCCGCGGCCGCCGGGACGTGACTGTGGCACGAGATCCGCAATTAACACAAACCACACGACCCTGCGGAGCAGGCCAGCCTGAGACATGCACGCTCTCCGGCTGCACTGCTCGTTTTGACCAGGGTGAGACTGTTAACTCCAAACAGCGTTACTAAAAAAAAACAATCCTGCAGTTTGAGGGAGACACGAGAGCAAGGCTTCAGCGGCTGAGGCTCCGCAGACGGCGCATGAGCCGACAGGAGGATCGCCCCAAGAAGACTCACATGGGACTGTCGTTCCGAATCTCGTAGGGTTCAGCACCATCAGCCGGTTCTTCAGGCTCCTGCGCCCCACGCCCTGGGCCCCGATCAGCACCAGGGTCTTCCTCTGGAAGGGGGGCACTCGGGCCACCTCTTCGTAGACCTGCAGCTCGTGCCGATCGAACTCTGCAGGCACGAGCACAAACAGGACGGGGCCGCCTGCAGTCACAGCGGCCTGCAGACCCCTCGACAGAGGACACCCCCCAGCACGGCCCACTCCCCCCTGCCCGCCCGGCTGACCAGCTCTCCAATGACCAGGGACAGAGAGGTCGCTGGACTTTTTCCCTTCAGTCCCTGTTTGCTTCCACTGAAACAACATGTCCCACCATTCAGGCAAAACCCCCCCCGGCCGGGCACCTCTCTCCACACCTGCGTTTCGCGCTGTAAGATACATCATCTTCTTTTTCTTCTTCCCGCTTATTGTGCCGCACAGGACTCCTTGGGAGAATCGGAGAAAAGACAGATCAAAACCACCCCTAGGTGGCGCACACGGTGCGCCTCACACAATTCAGGCTCCCCCGCCTGGCTCACCCAGCGCTGCTCCGCCGAGTTTCTGGTGGACGAAGTACACACCTGAGCCCTCCCAGTCTCTCCTCACGAACGCTTTCCTCTTCTCCTCCAGGAACTGGCTGGGGATGAGCCCCGTGGAGCCCCCGACAACATGGCAAGCCTGTGGGGAACAAAGGGTCCAGTCACCCGCTGCTGATGCGGACTGAGACAGCCACGCCGTTCCGGGGGAATATCGGCACCAACACTCAACATCATGACCGCTCCTGGGGGAGCTGGAGCAGACACGTGCAGGCGGTAGAGGAGCGAGGTGGGGTACGCCCAGGGCGGGGAGCCGGTTTATCTCACACCACACGGACACACCCACACCTGGACCAATCTTCCCAGAAGCCCACCAGCATGTCTTTGGACTGTGGGAGGAAACTGGAGCACCCGGAGAAAATGCAAAAATGGGGAGAGCATACAAACTCCACACGGACCGCACCCCAGGAATGGAACCCAGGACTCCAGCACTGCGAGGCGACAATGCCGGCCACTACCGCCCCACCCTCAATATATCCAGCAGGATGGTCGACCTCCATATTTGTTCTCTGTGACTTTTGGGAAGTGTCACTTCTTTACACAAGGAGTTGTAGGAAGTCTCGAACAAGCTACCCAGCTGTATGAGATCTTCAGATAAATTAACGACTAATTACCAAATGGGCGTGTTTGTAACTTTTCTCACGTGATAAACTTTAAAACTTGTTTAAGGCGTGATTTTAAGCTTGCACAGCCAGCATGCTTTATTTTTAGCTTTACAGAAATGATAAAAGAAAATTAAATGAAATGCACAATATGAACGCAACTGCGAGAATATGTGCAGAGACCCAGCTGGACGGTTTTCAGCACAGCTGCTCTGCCCCCTGCAAGAGCCCACTGCTCCCTGAGCACAGCGGTGAGCGCACTCCCACCTGCCACCAGTTGGGGTCCTCACGGTTGACGATCTGCAGGACGTCTCCTCGGGAGAAGGACAGGCCCGCCTCTTTACAGGGAATCAGGGTGTCGCTGGCTGGATTGTAGTCGAAGTGAGGCTTCACGTACACCTGAGGGATGCAACGCACACAGACCAGGGTTTTCAAACCGGACAAAGCAGAGCTGTGAAGAGTTTCCCAAAAGCTCAGTGCGAGAGATGTACGTCATTAAAGTTTCACAAATTTGCTCGACAGCTGAAAACTGTGAGGGAGAACAACCAAGCCTGGTGAAGACCTTTTAATAGAGGGGTAAGACTTTGTTTGCCTAACAGCAGATATTGTAGCAAATTATTTGATTTCTTAGCAAACGATTTCAGAAACTGAAATAGCGCTGTAAGAGTGTTAACCCTTACACCTGCAGGGGAGGTGTGAATACAGGCCACGCTGTCACAAGCTCTCAGAAGGTGCCAGCAGTAGGCAGGAAGGCTGACAGTATTTAAACAGCCTCTCCACACCAGCTACAGTGCAGTTACCCCTGGTGTTTACACCGGCCCCCGCTTGCCTGACATGTGCAGCAGCCTTGAGCTGCCCCTGGGGAACAGTGTCAGCTCCTGTAGGAGTCTGTATAAGGCTCTGCCACTGTCTCACTGAACAGGCTGGTGACGGGCTGACACCATATCTCACTCAAGCTTCCCTGCGTAAGAGATACTGCTAAGGCTTGAGACCTCCGCTGCTACTAGACTTAAAATAATTTACTATAAGGGGAGACCACCGGCCCAGTGACGTATTACACACTGTTCTCAGTGAGCCCGTGTGGTTGTAGGGTACAGTGTGAACGTGGGGTACAGTGTGATCCTTCTGGAAAGCAGGCTCTACCACAGAGAGAACATCCTCACAAACTGAGCTTCGCCTCAGCAGGGCTGTACAGAGACACAAGACACAAGCGCTGGTCTTGACAAGCGGAGAAGGCGGGCAGCGAAATGGACACAGTTCTCCTCTCGGAGGACAGAGAACTGCAGTTCGGTTCATTGGCACGGACTGCCACAGGTCCCCTCTGGGAGGACACTGACAGCACTGGACTCTGGACGTCCGTCTTAAGAAAACACTTGCAGTTCGAGTATAGTACTCAGTGCTATTAATAGTCTGGCTCTGTGTAGAGTTACAGGCATGATGGATTCTAAACCCAAATTTAGAGATCATTAGGACATAGTTCGTTAAGACACTTACAGACACGTGGATCTGCTTACTACTGGGAACGATTACATAACCAAGCAAACCAAGCAGCGAACCAGACAGCACCGGTGAGCCGCAGTCACAGCCGCCTAGAAAGAAACGAGGCGCCTTCTCTCGGGAGACGAGCCAGCGTCGTTTCCAAACAGCATTCGCTAAAGAGGAGTCTTTTTCCTCTCGCACACAAACGGGTCACTCACCCCACCCAGGCTGACGGCGCTCCTCTACATACTGGGAACCCCAGCATCTCTGACTCTGTACCAGTTCAATAAGCACGTCCACAACGACCGCTCCTCCCGAGAGCCTTCGCTTCTCTCACCGACTAGGGCTCCTGCTTCCACCCCCCATGTTAATTCGCATTACTCTACTAATTCCCTCATAACTCCGAAAGGCCCCTCTCGGCCACCTTCAGCGGAGACTGGAGAGACTGTTTCAGTTGCTCGGGGCGCTGGGGAGAGCTGTGCTGCTGCTTCGTCCGAGCCCCCTGGAGCCTGGAGCCTGTCTGCGGAGCTCCAGAGGGGCTAACCCTAACCCTAACCCTCCAGCACGTGCCCCAGTGATGGCTGGGGTGGAGGGGCCGAGGGACTGGGGGGTTACCTGCTGAGGAAGAGCGGCGTCCCTGTAGCTGGGGAGGATCTTCAGAGTGATCCCCCCACAGCAGCTCTTCAGCATGTCCTGCAGCTCCTTGGGGTTGCTGCCCACGTCCTTGCCGTTGACCTCCTTGATGATGTCCCCCACGTGCAGGAGGCCCTGGCGGTCGATCATGCCCCCGTGCAGAATGCGGGCGATGACCAGGTCGCTGTTCTCCACTCGGAAGGTCACGCCCTGCGCGGCACGGAGAGGGGCAGCGATCACAGCCTCCGGTCTTTTTAAGGCTTTTTTACTTCCTTCCGCTTTAAACAGTAACCGCTGAGGAGCCGACAATGTGCCCTGTACAATAAACGTGCCATCTGCTCTCCCTCCTCCCCGCTTTCTTTCCTAAGCACCTTATTTCTGGTCCCTTTAAGAGAGCCTTCCCTTCGAAAACAAGACTTCTGCAGTTCAGTGAATTTAAAAACTACTGCTTTTTTCCTCAGACATGCTGTGCAAGGGACATATCAGCGGGCTGACACAAGGAAAAGTGGCGCAGGGGAACAGGGGGTGCGAAGCGGACACACTTACCAAGGGCTCCCCTGCCTTCTTGCGGATGCCGATCATGCGCACGGCGTCGGCCTGTACCGCCTGGGGCGCGGCGGGCACGCCGTGGTTCGCTTCCGATCCCCCCGGCGGCGGCTCGTAGCTCTTCGACGCCACCTTGTCGTGAGCCTCGAGCAGGGACTGCGACAGAGACGCGTGCTCAGAGCTCAGAGGGGAGAGCGAGCGGGCCGACTGCCCCGGCCGCCCGGCCCACAGCGCAGCCCCTCTGCTCTGCCCTGCCCTGCCCATTTCTTTCTGCTGGCCCTGAAGAAACGCCAGTGTTTGCCGTACGAGACAGAGACAAGATCCGTCACCTCACCCACGATTCAGGTGCCTTTTTTGAGAAGAAGAGAACTAATTCCTACTATAGATTTCTTTACTTCTGATAAGTCCTTTCCCCTCTCAATGCCCTGTGAGCGCTGTAAGTCTAATGTGAAAATCGATACTAGACTGCACAAGCATATGGCACCGCCTCAGTAATCTGTTGTGCTAAGTACTGCAGGGGGATTAAGCATCAGCCTGTTATTTAACCAGAGGAAGACTAGCAACATCACGCCCATGGCTTTCACAGCACAGAGCTCACAGCTCTTCTGTCTGGAGAGCTCGGCACTCCTCCCTCAGCGCCGAGACTCGGAGGAGAGAGAGAGAGAGAGAGATCCCCACCGCAGGAGCCTCACGGCTCCCTTTCAGCTCTCTTTCTTGTACTTTAAATAACCAACACATCAGCGTTTCTCTCAGTTTCCGAAGGCGTAGGAAAGCGCAACAGCCAGCCCCAGGTGGCGGAAGGGCCGACGAGCACCGTGACGGACACCCAGCAGGACCGCGGGCGTGACGAGGGCTCGCAGGTGGCCCACCTGGAAGTGCGGCTCCTTCAGGATGCGCGACAGCTCGGCGGCGCTGTCGTCTCTGCTCGCCAGCGGGCTGATGTCCTCCAGGATCTCGCTCACCAGCTCCACGTTGTTGTCGCGGACAGCCTCCAGCTTGACCTCCTCCAGCCGTTCGTGAGCCTGCGGAGAGACGCAGCACTGTAAAGGCCAGCCTGCTGGGGGCGCCAGAGAGGCGCGGTCGCACCACGGTGCTCAGGAACACAGCCTCCTCATCTCCTTCATCCCTCTGACGCGACAACACTGCTCTGCGCAAGCCGGTGTGGAATATGGGAGGAAATACATTTAAGTTTTTGAAGGCTAAAATTAGCAGATAACGTTTTTTCTGGCCGCCATCATGCTGTGAGTTGTGGTTGGTGAATTTCTTTCAGAGGCTTGCGTCACACTGTGAACCTCCAGTGTGCTGCCAAAGAGAAGTGCACACCCACGAACCACACCTGGATCAGACAGCAGGTGGCGCTGCAACCCGTCACCTCGTCATGACGAAGAAGCCAGTCAAACTAGTGCCGCCAGGACTGCCTGGACACAGTTCCTCTTACACCGATCAGCTCAGAACGCAGTCAGGCCCTGCGGTCAGCGGCTTGGCACTGAGGTCAGGCCCTGGGGTTAGTGGTCTGGCCCTGCGGTCAGCGGTCAGGCCCTGCGGTGCTCTGCTGATCCAGAGCTCTGTCAGGGCTGTGTTTCACAACGCACTTCATTCAGAGGGAACAGGAGCCACGGCGCAAACAGCGATACAGCACTAGAACACAACATGTCTTTGTTGGCCTGAATTGTTGTTTTTGTGTAAAAAAAAACCCATAAGTGGTCATATACTGCAGGAGCGTTTCATTTGTTAGAGAGAGAAAGTTCTCATTGTGTACACCAATACAGCTGCACGTTGATATTCTGAGGTTATTAGGCTGTCAGATGATTGTTTGATACAAGATCTTCATAGATTAGATACATAAAATTAACATTTTTTATACATTTCCCAAGGATGATGAGTGACATACATTCACAGAATAAATATTCAACTACAACAACTCAAAATTTCTATTAAATAAAAAAAAAAAATCAGTTGTTTTCATTAAAAGCTTTGCAGTGCACCCATTGTGAATGTGATTGAGATTCTGTATTTGAGTGCTGCACAATTTACACCTGGCTCTTTGGGAGATGAACTCTGGCATCGATGTCCGTGATTCCCTGACTGATGCTCTCACAAACGACCTGTCCAAGTTATTCATTTTTATAGGCAAAATAAACTGACCGGGAGCTGAGGACAATGGAAATGTGGGGCATATTTAAATCATCCAGACAGGGATCTGGAGTGCAGGAGACATCTGACCTCAACCCCATCCTGTGTCTCTGTGGAGATCGCAAAGCTCCGGAGCGACTGTGACAGTCACAATAAACGACCCTGCTAAACTAGGCGATCAGCAGCAACAGACTGCACCTTGGACTTGCGCCCCACAGTGAAGAGTACTGCCCGGCTGTGGCTGGCACAGCCCGATCACGGGGGGCGGTTACACACAGAGACACAGAGACTCAATGACAAGTTACGAGCCCATTGACAGCAACAGAAAACAGCAAGAGTGAGTGTCAGCGATTCCCCAACTGCTGCTCTGCCACTGCCCCAGGTCAAACATGCGCAGCGTGAACAGAACTCACTATACCCCCTGCCCAATCATGCTAAGTGGGACTCACTAAAACGGATATTTATGATGCTTGATATTACGTTTCCAACAAAGCATCAGAATCCCACAAACAAACACCTGTAAAAAAATGCACATGCTCCTTCTCACAGGTGGGAACCCGGAGCGTTCTGGGCGGCAGTGTTGCTGCACCCCCTCCAGGTCAGCGTACCTTGGCCAGAGACCTGACGATGGGGCTCTCCATGATCCCGCGCAGGAAGATGAGGTCGATGTCCTTCGCCCCGGTGCAGGTCGGCAGCTCATTCAGGTTATCCAGAACCTGCTGCATTGCTGTCGGAGAGAAAACCACATTTACAGCCCTGGGAGAGACGAGAAGAGACGAAACAAGCCAAGGAGGATGTGGGTATATCATGCAAAGCACACGTTTTAGATCAGTAACTTTCAGAAAAATGAAAGAAACGCCACCTCCCAGTATTACACGGACATCTGGGAGTCCAGCAGGCCAAAGGAAAGTGGCACACCTGGCACCTACGAGGCCCACACGAGTACAGGCAGCAATGCCACTGCACAGTTTTAAAGTTTGCAGCCATCGTGGATCCTGGGAAGATCTTGCACAAGAAGAGCACAGAACTCAAACTCAAAAGCGACTCCCGAAAATGTCAGTTGAACAATTCTGAAAGCAGAACATCAAATATATCCCAGAAGATATATACAATCTATGATGCAAATGCTATGTAAGCAAGGCCAGAGCATACCAGCAGCAGCACGGTCATCCCTGCCCATGACAGAGAGAGTTTACTCTGGGCATCGTTTTTTTCTTCCTCAGCCTCTAATGATACTCATGCATTGCACTAAGACTACGCCTTTACATGGCTACTGATACAGTATTGTTCATGTGCAGCTACAGTTCATGTTAGACATGCAGAAGGAAGCACCGACCTATTGAAAGGCATTTTGGGACAGTCTGATTGCCACGCAGAAGATGACACAGTGACCTCTTCTCAGTTCAGTTTAATTTGAGGAGCAATAAGCTCAAAGTTTCTAATCATTAGCACTAATAAAGCAGTAGTGTCAGCATTTACCAGTGACTTTTAAAAACATGACTTTCCCCGTAAAGAACATCACATCAGAAGTATCTGAATCTGCTCTGCTCGTGTCAAAGAGACGCAGGACAGACCACTTTCTATACCCATTCCCACTCCGATCTCCGTTCCCAGCACACTCCCATCCTTCGGGGAGGGAATCACACAGACGGCAGGGAGAGCAGGTAACGGATTGTGTTTCGGAAAACGGCTCAGCGCTCCGCAGTGACCATCCTGAACGGCAGGAGAGCAGCCGCAGGCCCGAGGGAGGGAGAGGGAGGAACAGATACAACAGGCCCAGCGAGGTGCTGATGTGGTGAGGAAGCAGGAGCTTCAAAGGGAAGTCAAATGTGAGCAGTTTTTAAGCACTTTAAATCTGTCTAAACTAAAAGTTTTCTTCTTGGAGAGAGACAAGCTTGCAAAAGGGATAGAGAAAGGATTCACCAGAAAACATACCTAAAAGCCGGAAACTCTTAGAATCTATCCTTCACAAAACCAACTGCAAACTGCTAAGGATTCAGAATTAACCTGGGCCAAAAGACAGAGCTCACCTTTGTGATTTCAGGTGGCTTTTGCATATCACGTTACCAGACATTTCTCCTTCAGCACATCTTTAAAAAGCAAATAAACCTTTTTGGATCACAGATAGATCCAAACCCTTACTATTGTCTCTTATTAGTTCGATAATACAGTTTTAGACTCCACATCCTAGTTATTAATTTCACACTGTTTTACGACAAAGGGTTGTAATTGAAGTGTGCATACTGAAAATGTAATTTTGTCGTGCAGTCTAAAGAACAGATCCGTAACTGGCAGTTATGAATTGAACCAATTAAAATTTCTGAGAGCTTGCATATCTGACAGAACTGCGGTGTGAAACTAAAACAGCGCACGTGTTTCATCCATCGCTTTCTGAACAGAGAAGGTGGTGTTATTGACCGATGTAAGAAGAGATGACATTAACAATCTTGAGAGATAATCCCCAATCTCTCAGACATGCTCACAAATCCCAAATCTTACAAATTGCACAGCCAGATAAAATATGTATAAATCTAATGCACATTTAGGAAAAATGTCCACAGTGCTAAAGCAACAACACAGGTAGTGTGGCTGCCTGTTGCTATGGTTTCTGTAATTCTATCTGCGAGGAAACTGAAGGTGCCCCAGCAGCAGAGCAGAGCACCAGCCCGGCCTGCAGCAGCCCCGCTCCAAACCAGGAAGAACCTGCTCTGATCTGAAAATGAAGGTGCTGTTTTTTTAAATACTGTATGGGCCTTGTCCCCACATGTGACCCTGTAGGCCTTTCACAGTGCACAGCTATTAAAAGGCCGGGACTCCCTTTCCAGCCGGTGCTGCGCGGGAGTCGCGTGCTCAAAACAGGTCCCATACACACATCGGCGTAAAAATAACTCAATCACACTGCTCACAGACAAAACCGTCGTGCATTCACACCAGCACTGGGTGGGCAGCCCAGGCGAGAACAATTCACATGGGGATTATATCGCTAGCTAAACGAGACTGCAAACCCAATGGTACGGCTGACCAAATCACACAAGCTGTGACCCCGAGACCATCAGCGGTCAGAGCCACAACAGCGTCCGGTGACCCCGAGACCATCAGCGGTCAGAGCCACAACGCGGTGCTGTGGGCGTTTGGAGACAGGCAGCGAGAAAACGCGTTGGTTTCCCCAACAAGCACACATTTCTCAATGAAGAGCACACTTTCCTCCCAGGCTGGTAAAGAAAGAAAATCGGTTATTCCAAGTTTAAATGTATTTATGCTGACATTTGTGCGGGAAGAAAATGTGCTACAAACAGATGCATTTCTGCCAAGATGACAGTGGGTAGGAGCTGCCAGTCCTGTGGCTGGCTCAGCTCCTTCACTCCTGGCACCACACCACCTTCCTGGCTACAGCGTTTGAAGCTGCAACACTAGAACACCAGATGCGATTTCTCAGACACGTGTCTCACAGCAAACAAGCTATGTTTTACACACACTGAAACTTACAAGGCACACCAACAGTACAAGTATACATTACTGTACATTACATAACAGACATCTACCCATACAGATTCATTTCACAGCACTCCCACAGGAGTCCACACAACTGCATCCAGATCTGTAAATCTACTCCCCCACAGTTACACATCACCCCTGCACTCTTCTACACAATGCACAGATCGCACTTGCCCATAAACCATTACTCATTTATTGCGAACTCATTTAATTACACAATTAATTTGATTGAGTACGGGATGAAATAGTTCCTCATTTTAAGGCCTCAGCTGCAGCAGCCCGGGCGTAACAACTCGGGCCACTACAGCTCCACTATCAACACAGGCTATAATCAACTACTCTTTATATGAAACTACTATGGTAAAATTGCATTTATACTTCACTCTCCGTGCAGGATCTCTGGAAGATGTTTGAATAATAAAACTCATAACTTTGTATCTAATTGCTGCTCTCTCTCCTGGGCAAAAAATGATAATTCTGCTTTTACATCAGTCGCATGACACTACATCCCTCAGTTATTTTACATAGCGAAATGGTACATGAAGAATTTTAACTCTCGAGTGGTGCATAACTGAAGCTAGTAAGTGAATCCTGGTTTTCAGGTCTGAATATTCCCAGTGTGAGCAGTGATATTCCCCTCAGCTCTCTTCACTTTCTCCACGTTTTCAAAAGCCTCCATCAGATCGTTTCTGTCAAGCAAACAGGCTGCTGTGTTTGAAAGCCTGAACGTGCTGAGAAGCCTATTCACACAGCTAGTACTTGTCTATGGTGGAATCCAGCAGAGAAAGCATTTCAAACCCACTAACAGTCTGTTTTCAAACATGCATAATTTAATTACAGCTGTGAACCCACACAAAAGCTGAGCTTTGCTGCGTTCAATAGATCACGATGTGGAAGTGTGTGGCTTTTACCACCATTACCCTATTACAGGTTTAAAGCAGACAAACAGTGCTCAGCTCCTAGATGTGCCCAGGCTCTCTTCATCACTGAAGCTCTCCTCTCATTCCCTTTTATTTCAAATTAAGTCACTTCATCAGGAGAATCAGCCTTATTTGAAGGCTTTTCCTTCCTCACTGAATGAGCACAGCAGCCACTCCTAGTTCTGCGATGGCGCCGCTTTGCAGAGCAGCCCAGACCAACCCGAACGCCTCCGAGGGGAACCTGGACAGAGCGCAAATTACTTTCACTACAACAGGAAGGCACGTCTTTTTGACTTTTACATTCAGATGACCTGTAAATTGCAAAGGAAAGTTTTGAATGCCTCTGATGGGGATGTACAGCCTGTATGAGTTCCGGTCAGGTGTGCACCAAGTGCTCGCGTTTCCTGGGCTCCTGTACTTTACTCGCACACAGGAGGGGACCCACTCACCCACTACCGAGCTGCGGCCCCAGGCACACATGGGAGAAAGTGTTTCACTTCAATCCTTCAGTTAGAAAGGCCAGACCACACAGCCCAGAGTAATTAAGCCAGGAAACTGGGGACGCACACCCCTGCTCTAACGAACATCTTTAACGAGCGACTTGTCAAGATCTTGGTTTAACCCCTCCTACAGCACAGTGTCTCTGGTGACCATACCATGGGACACCGGTCTGGAAACTGTGCCCCGCCAACACCGGGTTTTCCTTAAGTTCTCCCATCCCGGTACTGACGGGCCTCAGGTCCTCGCTGGGCTCAAGCCAGAGGGCTGCGGTGTCGTCTCAACAGTGGAGTCGGCGAGCGCAGCAGAGCGGTCAGCCTCTGAGCCGGGGCCGCCAACGTGCCCACCGCGCAAAAACACAAAGCAGCGGCTCGGCGGGGGGGCGGGGGACCCCGAGGCCCCTCTGGCTGCCACGCCGCTGAGGGCCGAAGTGTTTTAAAGCCCCCAGCCCCTCCGTGCTCTCATTCACAGACCCCCGCGTCAGAGCAGTCCTTTAAGGCTGCAGGGAAACAGAGAATAGGAGCTCACCCAGCCAGCACTGCCAGCGCTGAAACATCCATCTGAAACTGCACAATAAGCCCTCAGATGGGATTAAACAAAGGTTTATTGCTGTCCCTGAGCAATAGGAGAATGAAAAGGCACATTATTTAAGAAAATTAATTAATAAAATCTATGCCCATACGTAACAGAGCCAAGACTATACTGCAAGAAACATTTGACAAGCGACGCATATTTCAGCAAGAACTCCAGCATTGTCCCAGATGCTTTCAAAAGTAAACGCTGTATGTAAAAAAAAAGAGGAACGCAAAGGAATGAGGACCTTCTTCAGACATTTCAGAGCTTCATCAGCGCAGGCTTAGCGCACTACCAGTCTCACTGCCCGACAGCAACAAACAGCTGGGAGTCCAAACGCCAACTACAGCCGCATGAAGTGGTTTTCTTTTAGAAAGGTTTACGAAGGGTTACTGGAGATTCCCTCCCCTCTGAAGACGAAGGTGTCTGCATGTTTCTAGAGCCGACATGCGGCATGCAGCCCCCTCGCCCGAGCGCACAGGAGCATGGCGCCACGGACAGGGAGCAACAGGGGGACAGGGGGCCACGCTGGTGGACAAGCGGCGCTCAGGAGAGAGCCCAGCAGCACAAGAGCCCCGGGCAGAATCCGAGGTCTGCTCTGCCGGACCTCTGGACAGCACCCGACACAGGAGAGCAGCACGCCGCAGAGCTGGCTCTACCTGTGTGTCTAACCCAGCTCAGGTGATCCCATCCACGGCACTGACACCGTCTCCATGCTTCACAGCAACACGGACTGAACACTCATCTGACCAGAGTGAAGGCACGACACTGCAGCATCGCTGCATCGAAGAGCACCAACACTAAAACATTCCTACATATTCATGGGTTTCTAAAACGCTGCACAACACACCCATTCACCCATTCATTAATTTGAGCTGTTCACAAGGACAGATAAATCTGCAAATATAAGACTGGGACTGGAGGAAAATGCTCACAGGCCAGTGCAAAGCCTGTCTCCAGTGAGGAAACTGTGGAGATTATGGAGCTTACTACTGTGTCACAACAGAAGTAATCAGGTACCGCAGGGATTTTATTAAGACCCTCTCTCATGGTGCAAGCTGAAGTGAATCAACATGCACGCTTGCGATAGTGACACTTCACTTCCTCGTGCGGAGGGATGAGATGGGAGTACAGAGCAGGAACCGGCTCCTTCTCCGCAGCTCCCGAATAACATCAATCCCGCCTCTCAAGAGCCAGGCGACGCGCCTCGTATCTCTCCCGCCACTGCTGCATCCTGCTGTGCACGTGGGGACTCCCTCTCAGGACGGCTGCCGGCTCTTTTAACACTGCAAACGCGAGAATCCAGAAATAAAACCTGAACTGGCACAGGCTGGAATACTGTTCCTGACAATCAATTTATATGACAGCCCCCACCGAAACCCCTGGTTATACTGACATTTAGCACTCGAGAGACTTAGCATAATAACAGTACAGTACCTCACAGTAAGGAAACAACTTCTCCAGAAGTCCAGACTGAACCCAGCCGCTATTTAATCGAGAAGTAACTGCTTCTTCAGGACCAGTACCCCTGCGATTTAGAGTAAAACCAACAACCAGCTCACCTACAGAAGAATTAGCTTCGCCCCCTGAAGAAGAGCTGTCTCTTTCAGGAGAGGAATCTAAACTGTCTGTATATCCTTCTGCAGCCGAGAACACCATCGCGAGGAACAGAGCAGATCCTGCACTCTTCCCTCCGACAGCTTCGTCTCCGCAGATCAATGTGACTAACTGCTGGTGGGAGTCCTCCGGTGCGATCGCCCAGGGGAATGCCAGCCCGCTCCGGGAGGGAGTGATGACACAGGTGACGTGCCCACCGCTCTGTGTGGGCTCCGGGTCCTCAGGGCAGCGACCGAATCAAGGCTGTGCGGCTCGGGCGAGCTCTGCCCTCTAATACCAGCTGGAACCTCTAATCCCACAATCCCTTGTTTTCAAGGGCTCTCCACTGTCCCCCTCAGCTGCAGAAGCAATAATCTTATGTAAGTGCTGCTGCAGCTGCTTAGAAATACAGCACCACTCCGCTTTCAGAGCCCGCGACAAGCGCTACAGTTCTGATCGAGGAGATGAACTGCTCCTGTGCTCTTCCTCGTGTCAGGATTCACAAGAATGTGTGGATATTATTTATAGTTAATTTCTCAATAGACTCATCGCCTGCCCAAATTTCAACATCCCAAATCCCAAATCTAGAAACAATTAAAGATTTTGTTCTGGTTTATTACACAGTTCACCAATGTCGAGGTAAACATTGCTGGTACTGTATGTAAACGCTGTAAGTAGCATGTCCACTCACATTACACCCCTCTGAGAGATCCAGGTTCATGATGGACATCATATCTCATCATCATATCTTAGAATATTAACTGCGCTCTCCGTAGCTGTCACTGAACCGTGTAAGAAATTGTTAACCTTGCTAAGTTTTGTATGAACTATGTTATGTGAAATCTACCAGGTCTGAACTATAAAACACTAAGAATGTTGCTCACCAGATCATTAAAATAATACATGATGATCTTACATACAAAGAGTCTATTATAAAAGCAAAAGGCCAATAAAACTGCATTTACAACAGATGGGCACCACCGAGCTCCAGCTACAGTTCGGACCGGCCTGTGGCTTGATTCCCTGACCACAATCTTAAATTATTTCACGACAAGTGATAAAATCTGAAGTTCTAACGAAGTAACGATGTGCAGTGTATAAATCAACAAATTAACTCGGAAGACTTAGAAAGACAATTTCTTCAAAATCTATTTTTGAGCAAACTGGTCTCCTTTTTCTAGTTTCCGAAGGCATCTTTCAGGACACCTTGCCAAGGCCGCAAGGCTTGCATGATGCCCAGCAGCTGCCTCCTGCTCCAGACCTGAAGCTCTGAGAAATCATTCTGTGCAGACAGGAGCTCCAGCTGAGGAAGCTGCAGGTCCGGAAACGGCACTGACCTCACGTCCTACACTGCTCCGCGGATCAGCAGCTCTCCCCCCCCTTCCCCTTGTGTCCAGACCGTCACTCCCAGCATGGCGAAAAGGAGACCTTCAGGGCCGGGAGGCGGCCAGAGACTGGGTGCTGGAGATCCCCAGGTCACAAGCCCCACTGCGCTCTGAACCCGTGCATGTCAGCAGGGAGCCCAAGTCAATGCAGAGGGAGGAGAGCCGTCTCCCAGGCTCATTTAAAATGCACAGTCGTTCACGCAGGTGAAGGAAACGACAGCCTCCTTCTCAAATCTCACACTGAACACGAAGGCTACAAAACGAGAGGGAGACATTCAGCCTATCTGGCTGGTCTGGCTGCTGATCGCAACCTGTAACTGATCCTAGGCTCCCATCCAGCTGTTTCTTGAAAGAAGCCAGGGTATCGGGTTCAGCCGTGCAGCAACATCATGCTGCGGTGCATGTAATATTGTATATGTGTCCTATTAGAGCACTGTACAATCATAACATCCCTGAGATTAAATTCTAGTCCCTGTGCTGCACTGCATTTTTTATATTAAATGTCATCTGCAGTGGTTTGTCCAGTCTTAAATAGTATTTAAATATCTCTGAATTTCCATCTTCTGCAGTGTTTGCCAATCCTCATCTGAGAGCTACACTAGTTTACATTTATAAACTTAACCATTTATATCATTTATATTAATTAGGAAGAGCACTGGACCTCATTCAGATCCCTGTGGTACTCCACTAATTACTGTACATCTCCCAGTCTTGGCAATCACTTCTTATCTGTACTGTTCCTATCCATTGACCAGTTTTTAATCCAAAAGATATATTCTTTTGTTTTAAAAGACTTCTGAAATTCTGAAGACTGCACCCTCTCAGCTTGTTTTCAAGGGATATTGTCAATAGCCCTTCAGGTAGTTGCACTCACGTCTTGGAACGCTAAAAGTCTGCCCATCGAGAGCTTACCTGTACAGGAATTAGAACTGGCCACAGTCATTTCCCTATACCCAGCATGAGCTGACAGGCTCACCCCACCAATGTGCTTTTTGATGGCCTTCAATCACACTGTGTAGCCTCAGTACAGAAGACCTGCAGAGCTAGAAAAGGCAAAAATTAGTTAAAGTCATGTCTGTTTACTTCGGGCAAACTAAAAAAACTCTTTTTCAGAACCATTATGAAAAGGCGCCTATCTCACACATATCCCAATCTATTTCATCATAAAACAATTATGACAAACCAATACCTTAATGAATATTTCACAATACTATAAAAGGTCAGTGAGTTTTATTTATGGCAAATACTTGGTCTAAACTCATTACAGGAAGGTAAAGCATAAAGCACAGTAAAAGAGGGATTGGATAAGTTTGCAGCACGTTTGCAGACTGGAGGGACTGCAGCAAGCCTGCAGAAGCCCGAATTCTGCGACTACCAATTCCAGACAATGGATAATGAAAATCGGGTTGCACCATGTTGTAAGGGGGACTGGAATCAAGACAAGAGCACTTAGACCATTCTGCTGGGCTCCTTCTGTCTAGTAGCACTTTCTAAGAAACACTGTGTCACAACAACAGGACGCAGAAGATTGTTAAATCACAAATCACCTTCGTAACTGCACAATGACAAAGTTCATTTCATCAAAAACGATGTTTGATGTTTGCATGGCTGTGCGCAGCACGTTGCAAGCAGAGACGTTTCGTGAAAGGCATCGAGTAAAACGTGATCCTTTGTCATCACAAGCCACGCGTCACAAGCTGTGGGCTGTGTTCAGCAGAGCAGAGTCCTGCATGACCACCGCGCTCACGGCATCGCTGTGCGTCTGTGCCCTGAGGGATGGGCACGCTCTGCCCCTGCCTAATCCCCAGCCCTGGGCTGCACTCCCTCTGATCGCAGTTAATCCACAGACAGAAACACCGGATTAGGAAATCTGTTTTTTAGGATTTGCCCATCGCCACTCAGCTCCCAACTAGGATTTGATGTTTATGACAGCCTGACTGATGGGCGTTAAAACTGAAAGAAGCAGAAGAAGGGTCAGGACCCCCAGAGGCTGCTGCTGCTGCGGGCTGGATGTTGTCCTGGTATTAGCTAAGGACAGGGAGCAATCCATGCTTGAAAGACAGGGCGAACAGCTCCCTCCCACACAACCGCACACACGGGTCGCCCCGCTGACCACCGGCCTAACGTTCAAGACAACAAGAGAAGCGGCCTGAGTGTCCACCCTGGGCGTAAGGGGGGCGAGTCCTCCTCAGGTGACCTGCTGTTCCGAAAGGCTCCCCTTTCTTGTCCCTCCCACTGGGGTGCTGAGGGCTTTGGATGATTCAGCTGTGCAGCATTGGTTGTTATTTCTTACGACATCTCTGAACTCGGAGAAACCTTTTTGAGGGGATTGCCATTAACTCGAGCAGAGCGTGGCTCTGGACTACACGCTGCACAGAGCACAGGACACACTGCACACTGCAAAGAGCACAGGGCCACACTGCACACAGGACACACTGCAGAGATACACATGCTGCAGCACTAACACTGACACAAAATGAACTCAGCAGCAGTACAGTACATTGTAACCAAACATACTGCACAGGCACTGTGTGTGAGCGATATGCCCAACACACCAACAGTGAGCTTTCTGACCATTTTCACAGTGTATTTTAAAATAATAAAACAGGTCCAGTCTGTATTTGCCAGCTAAAATACCTGTCAACAGCTTGTAAAACTCCTGCTTTGGCACATCCAAGGTCACAGGCCAAAACAATAAAACCAAACAGAAGCACAAAACAAAAAAAAAAACAAATGACTAATGGTGAGGTCACTCTCAGATGCCACAAGCACAACCTGAAAAACAAAAAAGCACCCACCTACAGCAAAGAGAGTCTTAACTACTGCTGAGTCACCAGGACTATTAAAAAAGCCAGCTTCTCCTGCTGAGGTGTGAAATTATTGCAGCTCTTACTTAAAAACAAGAAAAACAAACCATTTTAAAGTAGCGTATTCAGCATCACAGAAGATGCATAATTTGCTTTGAACAGCTTTCTAAGTATCCTCCGTTGGCGTAGCAACCAAGCCCTCTGCGCACCCGAAAGGGTTTTAAGGTGCTGTCCAGGGTGGGGCCTTCAGCACACAGCTGTGTTCTTAAACTACAGCACGTTACTGCCTGGGGGACTACAAAATCAGATGCATGCTGTGAATAGCTGCATTGTCTGGTCAAATGTTTGTTGCATTGTCTGGTCAAATGTTTGTTCCAGAGAAAGAAAAACTGGTAAGAATGAAGAACAGGAAACATTTAACGCACAAAGGCAAACTCGTTACGTATACCGTGATCACGTTTTCTTTGGCAGATGTAGTTTACAACATTGATAACCTCATATTTACACTTCTACGTGGTCACCCCTTAATGGTTAAGTCGAGATTTTAAAAGACAATTCTATACTTTTATAATCATGGATTTTTTTATTTTTGCATTAAGTATCTGCACAGGGCTGGCCACCTACTGTGTGCTTTATCATGCAACTATTTCACTGTATTACATCTCATTTGAATACAATGGAATCAACGAGATATTAGAAATACAGTGTTTTCAGTGAAACTTCCAGGTCCCCCAGCTGCTGGGTCCAGCCCTGTGAACAGGCTGATGCTCTGTGCCAGGACTGGGAGGAAGGATAGTCTCCTGCTGGACTTCATGAAGGATAGGACACCCTTTCCACACCCGACTCGGGTCAGAGAGCAGGAGTTCCAGGTTGATTTTCAAGACTTCACTCATCTCATCCAGCTACGTATTACAAGAATAAATCTCTGGGTTCGAGGTGGATAGTTTTTTCTTCAGCGGAGGCTTTGAAACAACGCAGTGCACGCTGTTCATCACTCCCCGCCCCTGGGACACCGAGCCAGGTCTGAGCCAGAGCGGACGAGACGCACAGCCGGCGGAGTGCGAAATAGGAGCCGGTGGCCCGTTTCTCCAGTAGTGACGCACATTCCCTCCCGTGTGTCTGCGGCCGCAACACAGAGGGCAATGACAATGAGAAGATCACGCGTGTTCGGATAACATTCGCGTGTGCCTTTTCAGCTGCAGTGCTCTCCAAGTCCCGGATGTTTTCATCTTCCCAAGGACTCCCAGTACCCCGAGTCAAGAACGCCTGCTGGGTAAAAACAAAACCCAGCGAACTCCGGAGGGGC